AATTATCTTGTGCTACAACATGCCTAGAACTCAAGGTTCTCTCAAATTGTCAGATTTTGTAAGAGGAAGGATAGTTGGTCAAGCAGATGGTGGAATAAGTCAGCGGAAAATTTCGCAGAATATGGGAATCCCACTTTCTAGACCCATATCCTTCCGCTGTCAGAAAATTGAGCTAATCTTGATTCGTCTGAGAACAATATGGTCTTCCAAAAGTCCAGAGGCTTAGCCATCATATCACTTGCCCACTTCTTTCGTCTGACTATGTTGGCAGGTCTTAATAAGGGCTTCCGTCTGGCTGCTCTGCAACGATAACCCAATCTGTGGAGAATCCGTTGAACAGATTTCGGGCTCATCCCACCAACTTTGGCCACTTCTGCAGTTGTTAATCTGGGATCCATTTCGATGCTCCTCATGACAGCCCTTTTTGTCCTCTCCGATGGACCAGGACGACCCAGACGCTGCTCAGTTGTTTCCTGAACTGCACGATGATTCTGTTGACTCTCGCAGACAAATCAAGATTTGCTCAATTTTCAGACAGTGGAAGGATATGGGTCTGGAGAATGCCTCACCAAAAGTTTTGGCTCAACAGATTGCAGCCAACTGTGAAGCATGGTGGTTTCAGCGTGATGGTTTGGGGAGCTGTTTGGGTTGATGGGAGATCGAGCTTAGTGGAGTGCGTTGGCAACACAAATTTGGTGAAATACGTCAAAATATTGGAGGAAGGACTCTTGCCACTTTATTCCTTGGGTTTCGTGGACAAGAACACAACATTGTTCCAGGAAGATGATGCACCGTGTCACACTGCTAGAAACACCCAAAAGTGGCAGGAAGAAAATGGTATCCAGAAGTTGCACTGGCCGAGCCAATCTCCTAACATGAACCCCATCAAAAACCTCTGGGCTATACTCGACCAGCAAGTCAAGAAACAACAAAAAAACCAACTTCAAAGAGCGATCTATTCCAAGTTTTGAAGCAAGAGTGAGCGAAAATCCCACAATCTAAAATTGACGAGATGATTCTCACGATGCCCCAAAGGATCAATGAACTCCACGAAGTGAAAGGAAGATCTACTAGATATCAATTAAATTATAAATATATCAATTCATGTGAATATGACTCAAAAATTTCATTTTTTCTGAAAAGGTGGTGTCTATTTATTTGTGACCACGCTGTGTACATGGGGGTAGGATGAGGATCATACAATTGGTAAGTCAACTACAATCCAAAATCCGGCTGCTGGGTACCAACATCCATGTGGATGTAGAAAAGAGGATCATACCACCGGCAAGTTGACTACAATCCATAAACCAGCTATCTGGTGTGGGTAGGAAATAGGATCATACCGTCTTCACCTCAAGTTCATGAGACCCAAGGGAATCTAGTAACCTAACTCATGAATGGGGCATATGTGAATAGGATAAATTGATAGATCGATCAAGGAACCCAACATCTGGTATAAAAATATGTCTACATAATGTAAACCATCTCCTTTGAAAGTAAAATTGACTGGAACCACCCAAAGTGCATTAACATCCTCAGAATGTGAAACATAAAGGGATAGCAGAAGGGAAAGAACCATAATACTCCACAATTACCTCCATCATGAGCCACAACACTGATGGAGTATAAATGAGGGAGAAATATAGACATCTGTAATACATGTAGTAGGACTTATGTTGATTGATTCTACTCTAAATCCAAAACCCAGCCAATGAGAACCGACATCCATGTTGGGGTAGGATGAGAGATCTCAATCGAAGGGGGGAATTGCAATTTTGACATCTCACTCCCATATGTTTTTA